TTTTGTCATATTTTCAATCTTGAAATAATACTTTAATCTATTTCGAAAATGCTGTGTATTTATACTTAATGAAGTTTATTTCAAAAACACAATACACTCATGTTTCATTGTACAAGTCAGTATTCGTTGTATAACATTACACAGTTATCGGAGGTAAGTTACTTATGGCCGGGACTGTATAAGACCATTTATATAACGATAAATTAAAAAATAATTTGTAAAGCAAATAATACATGTAAGACAAACTTAAATTCTTCAGATCATTAAAAGTAAGATTTTATTTGTACTGTACATGTACATGTACTTAGAAACCAAAGATTTTACATGTGCAATCATAGAATAAAACACCAATCGTGTTTACTGCCTCTTGTTCACCGAAAACAGCTGAGAAAAAAGACTTTATTTTTATTCTTGAATTCTATATTCTATTTTGTTTCCGGTGTATTGTAGATTAATTTTTCTTTGTTTCCTTACATTCTTTTATAAGATGAATCAGCCATTATGAATCACCAAACAAAAATGCTATATTTATGCTAATAATATAAAAAAATTATTTTTTTGCGTATTTTATTTTACTTGTCTAAATCAACTTATTTTTAATTTTTATTGATACATCATATATTAAATATAATCTAACATATTTGAGAACATAACGTTTTGCATTCACGGATTTATTATTAGATAGTTTGTAAATTGGTGCGGATATTATCTTTTAACCAAAAAATGATAGTTATTTGCTAAATTATTATAAGTATTTATCTTGAAGAAAAACTTATAATTTCAAAGTAAAATGGCAAATTCTAAACGATAAATTTCTAGTTCTTTATCATTGTATCATATTCTTTTACTACTTTTTGTTTAATAATTTTATTTTATTAACTCGAATAAAACTAAACTTGAAAGTTGATTTTACGCTCGAGTTTATTACATTCATTGCAGAAATATAGTACATGTAAAGAATGGTCATCAAAAATGTTTGTATTTTATAAATTGCATCATACAACTAAACTAATCAAACCATTTGTTGTTATGTTTAGAAATTCTTCGGATAATTTAATTTGTATGCAGCATTTGGATAGAATAAAACGTTGACTTTATTATTCAATTGACTTATTGGGAGTACAGTCAGACCTCCCAAAATGCGATATCTCTCTGCAAGCTCAAACTCTGGCGAAAATATATACTTAACTGTAATTTTTCTTATTTGTTCTCTAAATGCACGGTGTCAAAAAATTGGCCCGAGCAAGGTGCATTTGGAGAGGTCTGATGTACATGTACATGTACAGTCAGTGACAAAAAAACTTAACGATTGACAAATAGAAAGTCATACATATACAAAGTCAATCATTTTGTAACCAAACATGGATAAAATAAAACTCATGTGATAAGCTTTATTTTTCACTATTCTTAATGCAGAATTAATTCACACCTTTTTGCATTATCCGTCTCAGAGATGGAACAATCCACCTGAAAAAAAAACTATTATACTACTGGCACACAGGTGAACATTCTGTGCCAAAATTAAGTAGACTTACAGGCCTAGCAATCTCAACTGTCCGATACAATGTAAAAAAATTAGAGTCAACTGGAACAATTCAGCACAAAGGTGGTAATGGACGTCCTAAAAAAATTACTACGGCTGTATCAAGAAAGGTGGGTCAATATATTCGTAAAACTTCTTCTATGTCCCTACGAAAAATTGCTACTAAACTAAGTATGGAGGGGGTAGACATTTCATATCGTACAATTGGAAGACATTTAAAATCAAATGGGTATAAAAAAAATCGACCAAATGCTACGCCGATGTTAACAGTAGTTCAAAAAAAGAAACGTATACAATGGGCCGAACGTCACCTTAACGATGACTGGAAAAAAACCTTATTTTCCGATAAAACGGCATTCCAACTATTTCCAAATACAATTAATCATTGGTATAAGGGTAAACGGCCAGTCCGTCCAATACCAAAAAACTGTTCAAAAATTTTCGCGTGGGGTGGCTTCTGCGCGAAGGGAAAAACTCGTTTATTCTGCTTTCAGGGTATTATGAATGCTGACTTTTACGTCAAAATTTTGCAGCAACATGTCGGGGAAATTAAAAAGATGCTTGGGAGAAAGTGGCGTTTCCAGCAAGATAAGTGGTAAAGCTAAGAAGTTTCTACGGAAAATGTACCCGAAGTTATCGATTGGCCATCATCGAGTCCGGACCTAAATCCTATCAAAAACCTATAGGCAATTATTAAACGTGAAGTAGAAAAATGAATGCTACAAAATTTAAACGAATTGGAACAATTTATAATGGAGGAATGGAATTCATTGCCAAGTGATACATTAAAAAATTTAATAAATTCAATGCCACGCCGTTGTCAATTAATTATTGAAAATAAAGGCGAAAGAATTCCTTATTAAATTTGTAATAATAAAATCTACTGCTTTCGAGCTTTCAAACAATATCTTAATCATGTGTTTTAATGCGATCTGCGTGAAATTGTAATAAATTAAGTTTTTTTGTCACTGACTGTATATTATTTAACATTCCAAATGTAGGCATTTTCTCAAAATATCTTTAGAACGACGCTAATCGTAATTCTAAACAATATTTATAACTAAAATTTTTTCATTTCTGTTTTCAAATTATTGCCTATAAAATTCATCGACCTCTGTTCAAAAAAAAGCTTGTTGTTCTTGTTGTTTTCATATTTTAAAACTAGCTTTTTGGACAGCGTTGCACTGTTTCCAAGATTATTCCAATGAGACAGTAATATTTAAGAAAAAAATTTTTGATGTTTAAAGGCTATTGTGGTCAAATTTTTCGAGATATGTTTCTAAAAGTTAAATATCTTTTATTCCTTGGAGTTTAATATCTTACGTTTCAGAATTTTTGGATTAGAATTTCTCTTTCGTCATCTTGGAGAAAAAATACGCCACATATTTGAAAGGGTCTGGTACGAAATTCCGAACTTTCATAATCCCGAATGATCTAAATTCCGAATGAAAAACGTGCCGAACGAACGAAATCCCAATCCCGAAATGGTGATAATTTTAGTATTTCATGCATTTGGCGGTATTTCGATCTTTCGAGATTCCGTTCATTCGGGATCTCGTTCGGCATTCGGAATTTTCAAACATTCGGGTTTATGAACATTCGGGGTTGTGTTCTTTGAGATTCGACCGTTACCGATTTGAAAGATTGAAAGGCAGCCGTTAGTCGATTTCTAAGTTTTCTTTTCGTCGATTGCTGATAAATCAATAAATAGATTCTAATACGACTATGTGTATAAAGTTCTTTTATGATATCGACGCCTAAAACTAAATTTCAGAATTGACGAATTCTAATTGAATAAATATGATTTAACCACAACTTAATTCATGTTTTGCTTAGTTTAATTGAACAAGTATGCTCAGTTATTTAATTTGCAACAATCCAACTCGGAGTTGCAGTAGTTTACTGGTTGACTATACAGTGACTCGCAAAAGAAATGAAAAGCAAGAAAAAAAAAATCGACGAAATTTGAATAACCCACCATTGAAATATTATCGTGATCCAAATAAAGCGGATTGCGTTAAAGTAATAATAATCACGTAATGCAATTTTTATTTTCATCCATCACTTGATTCATAAGCTAACGAGTTTTTAAATTTTTTTTAGCTTTCCACCATATTATGGCTGAATTGGATGAGAGTTTGGAGACTATTTTTTATTTTTTTTTGTGATTTAGTTGTTGTGGTTTATGTATGCGAGGAAAAGACTACATTTTGGATACTTATAAAAAGATAATGATAATAAAAAATTAATATCATTAACCTTTTTCTTTTTTGTCTTTTGTCAATTCTTCTATTCATTGAAATCATGTAACCATTATTCTCACCAAACAAATGAGAAATAAAGCTTAATAAATTTGTTGAAATATTCATAAATATTTTATAGATCTGTAATAACATTTAGAATTAAGATAGTTCCTTTAACAGTATTAATAACCTTATCCAACACATTACGATTATAATTGTTATAAAACTCAATGTGATTAATTATCTTCTCATCACATCTTGTTTTTGTTCTGTGAAGATATCAATCAGTCTGATGACCAATAGCCACACAATAAAATTGTCGATATAAATTGGTGGTATAGCGAACGATTTAGCATACGGTGACTTTCAGATACGATACCTAGCATCTAGTGATCAAAATCACGCTAAAATATCACCATTCGATTTACCATGACTTGACAAATCGTATGGTGTATTTTGATCTCTAGGTGCCGAGATATTGCATATTTTTCTGACTTTATCATGATTAAAAAACTATTTTAATATCATGCGAAACTAATGTTGTATTTGGGCTGACACATTTAAGGGAAGTGCCATAAATTAGGTAATTTTTGAGGGGGGGAGGGGGGAGACCCAACCAGTGATGTCTCATATTTTACTAATTCGAATTTTTGAGAAGCATTATGTCTGCACAAGTATTGTTTAAGCAAATTTTGAGGGTGGTTTATTATGTAAAATATGATAATTTAGACCAGCACTATAATAGTGTCGCATTATAATCATGCCAGCCTAAATTATCATAATGCTAGTTATTCAATATTCTCATTGGTCGATATGATCGTGACGGTGGATATTTTTATTCAGTATCTGAAACGCAATCTCTCACATATTTAACATCAGTGCTCTTAGATTCAACATTTGCGGAAGGAAGAAACGTGAAGTCTTCTACAAATGCAGAGTTGGTTACTAAGTCCTGGCGCCCTAGCAACTGATCAAGTGCAACAAAAAACTCTGTATCTGTAGCAGTCGGAGGTATAGTTGCTGATTGTATTGAGACTATCTTTTGGACATTATCTTGATAACGAATTGGAGGAATAGGTGTTGGCTGTGTTGAGGAAGTTTTTTGATGACGAACTGGAGGCATAAACATTGGTTGTGTTGAGGAGGTTTCTTGGATATCTCTTTGACGGGGGTGAGTAGTTTTTTTGTGGTCCGTAATCATTTTAAGAGTTGGAAAATATTTGCCACATGTTGTGCAGCAAAGTCTTCGATGCATCTCAGAAGAGATAGATGGGCAACATTCGTCATACTTGGGAAGTTTCACTTTATCCATATACTGTAGTATATGGATAGGATTCAAATAATGATTATCTTTTCCCTTGGTGACAGGCGGAAGAAATCCTTCATTCTCCTTTAGAAGCTCAATAGCTTCTATGGCGCGTACTTCACTGCAACACATGCGATTATTACACTTCTTCACATCCAAAGAATATCGGCAAATTCGGGTATGTTCTTCAATCCATTGCCATGCAGGTCGCTCTTTTCCATTTTTTTCGAAAGGATCTATGTTCTCATCAATGTAAAATGTCCATATAGGTTTTCCATGTACTTTATCACGGCGCCAAAGTTCACAAAGTCGCTGACCCGAATATTTAAAATTTTTTCTACACAGGTTTTCATCATGAACTTTTCCTTGGCTATTGAGATGAGAGCCATAATTGTCGATAGGAAGCTCTATACCGGCCAACTTTTCAGACAAGCTTGACATACTTCATTCTACTGGATTATAGGCTGATTGTCCTGGAGCATGTGTTCGAACTGAAAGATAGTCTAGATCCATCTCCTTGAAAAATCTGCAGTATTCTATCATGTTTTTAACATGTCTTGGATTCTCGTCTGGACCTCCATCCACAAGAAGTATCATAATAGGTTTCAATTTGCCCTCCCATATCAAATCTTGTGCAAAGGTATTCATCGTTTGCATTGTAATTAAGTCAGACATATGAGACATAGATGACGTACTAACGAAGTATTCTGGTCTTACAAAAATTACAAGCTGTCCTTGGCGAAGACTTTCATTAGAATCAAGTGGATTAATCAAAAGATATACAGATGGTACAAGCTTCATCTTTGAACCGTGTGGAAAATCATGGTCTGAGATGGTGATGGGCTCTTTTTGAGTCTGAATTGTTTGAAAAGTTCTGCCGACTGCAGGTATACCAAGTCCAACTTTAGCTTTATCATCTTGTGATATAATTATAGTGTGATTAGAAAATGCTTGAGCCAATTCTCTAGTTGTTTTTACTGAAGCTAAACAATAATATTCATCCAAGTGATGTTTCATTTCTGTTCATGCAACTGCACTAATTGCTATACATGCTGGATGATGGTGTTGACATGTGGCAAAAGTGCTAGCTTGGCGAGGTAGCATATATGTTGAAAGGCATTGTCTTGATAGGTATACAGAGTATTTTTCTTCCATTTCTTTCTTTAAATATTTGATAGTGCGCACCTTAATAATTGACTTTCTTCTTCGCATGTCTGCAGCACCAAATTCTATACAATCATGCAATTGTTCAAGTAAATCTGAATTTTTTTGAAGCTCTGAAGGTCTTCCAGATGTATCATAGATTTCAATGATTCCTTCTTTGTGCAATAACTTGCATTTTTTTGTGCGCAATTTTTTTTGATTTTTTGCATTACGTTTAAGTCTAGCAAGATGTTGACTTTCTTGTTCAATTACAGCCTGTCTTTGTCATAATTTTTCCAATATATGACTTCGCAAACTATGATCTTTGGTCTGTGTAATAAGATTTTCATACTCCACAATCTCACTTTCTGCTTTATTGATTTTTTCAACAGCTTGACGTTGGGCTGAAGCATTGGGTGAATGGTGGTGTTTGGCAAGGAGTTGGAATTGTTAAAGAAATTGGTGATGGTTGAGTAATATTTATATGAACGGTTGTTGAAAATTTAATTGTAGTCAAAATAGATAGAAATTCCATTAGATATTGTTTAATTTGGGCTTTAATCTTGCTTGTTTGTTGATGATGAATATTTTTCCACTCTTTATTTGCATTTTCCATTAGAACTTGCTTGTTTGGTTGCATATTGCCTTCTTTAACCATGATATAATAAGAAAATACATTGGCAAATTCATGATAAAGATATTGAGGTGTAGCATAAAGATATGTTTTGTTGAAGGATGGAGCAGAAAGAAAAGTTTGCATTCTAAGTAAATATTATAGTCTTGTAATAAATTAAATTTAAACGTGTCAAAAAAATTATCATTCTCACGTCTGTTATATATGTGTTACAATTATAATTTAGACTGGCACTAATTTCATAATGTCAGCCTGAATTATAGGGAGGGGAGGGGCAGCTCTCTAATAAAATTAAATCACCTAATTTCTGGCGCTTCTCTAAGTGTATTGGACCTGATCAATATTCAATTATACCTTTTTTGAAGCAAAGTTTCTCCAAATACAAGAAAGAAGGGAAATTATAAGATAAATTATGAAAAAAAGAATTGTACACAATAAGTACTTTATTTTGTCTATGATTTTAACTATCACTAATTTATAACTCAATAATTATTACACTTCAAATTATGGAAATAAAATAGCATTGTGGTATGTAATGTACAATGAAGTGGGATCACGAGATTCGTAAGACAAAAAGTATATATCTAAATATATACATGCATAATGAAATATGTGTAAGAGAATTTTTGTGTTAGCATTTAAGAAATCTTATGGGCATTATTACATACATACGTTCTTTGATATTATTTATCCAAAATTGATTTTAATTATCTGGCAGAATACTTGTATAAAATCCTTTGATCTTGAAAATTTCCTAATTTAACGCCATAAATTATATGATAATGCAAAAATCATGGTAAGAAGATATTTTCTTATCATTCTCTCATTATATTCGTTAAAATTCGATAAATATACAATAATAGTGATAATTTAAAGGTGAATATTAAATTTATATTATATTTACAAAAAAAAATACAAATTGTAAAACTACTTAAAGATGGATTACCCCAGCATAGCCAGAAAAATTTCAAGTACATGTACAGTTCTGGCAGAAAAGTAATAGTGATAACACTTTCATGCATATTCTATGCAGTGTAGATTTCTGTTAAAATTGGATTAAATTCCTGATAAAAATATTGATTAATAAGATAATGTACTATATTTTTTATTTTATTCAATTATCAAAACATTTACTAAATTACCCTCACAAATAATTCATAATATTATAAAATTGAATCATGAAATCATTAAGTACTTTTGATATAAAGAATATCATAATATCACCAAAATAACTAGTAAATTCAGAGTTTCTATTCATTTTGTTGAATTACAGTATGGGACAAAAAATTTTGTCCTTGATAGTCATGTGGTTTAATCATGTGATGCTCAATATATTTGAAATAAATAATGTTTACTATATATTTAACATGTATCACATCTTGTAAGTTTTTGTTTTCTCATTGCACTTTGAACTATTATATTGTCAATTATTTTTCAAATAATAATTCAAATATTTATACAAGATAAAAAATTAATAATTCAAGTTATTTTACATTTCTGGAATCAAAAGATATGATTCTCTCTAGAAATTCATAAAAAAACTAACATTCCAATTAGGATAATTAAATATAATATTAAAAAATATAGGATATTGGCAGTGTTGTACATAAATAAGAAAGTAATCATCCTAAAAATATCACTGTCAGTGCATCCAAGATCATTAGTTAATATTTGAGATGAGATCCAACTTGAAAGATAATGTCTAAATTGGCTGAAAAGATTCTTGATTATCATATAGAATGATTTCAAGACATTTGAGAGATCTGAATTATAAGAATAATATGTCTATGGCTATCCTAATACTTACTAATAATCATAAATAAATACAAATTAAATAGGCTTATGCTCATCTTAATGATAACAGGCAGAAAATTATTTTTACAGATAAAACTACATTTCAGTTATTTTGGAATACTATAACATAATGATATAAAGGTACTGATTCATCTATTTTATTCCAAAAAATCATGTCAAAATTTTTGCTTGGAATGAATTTTACATGAAGGGCAAAATAAGTCTTTATTGCTTTCAAGATATAATGACAGGGCCAATCTATATTGAAATTCTTCAGAGATACTTACTAAAATATGACAAATACTTGGAAAAGTCTGATGCTTCTAGCAAGATAATGATCTGAAGTATATGAGTTCTGTTTCTAAACAATTTCTTCAGACTAATATACTTATAGTTATTGACTAATCATCAAATAATCCTAATCTTAACACAATAGAAAATCTATGAAGCATAGTTAAAATGAATATGAAAAGATGAAGATCAATAAAATCTTGATGAATTAAGATGATTTATGATAGAAGAGTGGGATAGTATTTCAGATTCAATTATAAAAAATTTGGTAAACTTAATGAAAAGATATTGTGAGATGATTATTGAAAGCAATGATAAACAAATTCTGTTTTAATTTTTATAAATAAGATCTATATATTTTACAGTTTTAAATGAGGTATTTTGAGTTCCAATTCATTTGCTCATTATAAAGTTATTGTAATTTTACTGAGTGCAAGATTTTTTGTTTCATACTATATATGTATCTTTTCTCCATAAAAATAGCAATATTCTAACAATTTATTATTCTGGTCATTTGTGTAAACAACACCAAAAAAAGTTGCCAAATTGAAAAAATCTTGAAATTAAATCACTTTATTACTTTGGCCAAAATAAAAGTATGACTTGAAGAATCTATTCAGGCTTTGAAAAATATGACTGAACTATTTGTGATGAGCTTTTTTATTTGATTATATTTTGATATTGCTGAGATATATTTCACTTCTTATCCAATATGCAAAAAATAATTAACTTTAACAATCATATAATTATATTAATTATAATTGAAATAAAATCATATTTTTTAATAAAATAACTTTGCAGTTATTTCTAAAATACCTGTTATATATAGTCTCATTCCAGTAAATCAAACTGCACTAATGACAAAATACTTATTTAAAGTTCATGTGTGACATGTAAATTTGTGTACATAAAAAAGTATCTTTACACAAATATAGATCACTATCTTTATTATCAAATTCTCAATGATTACTTATATAAAAATGCAACTCATATCTTTGAATGTTAATAATGGCGCTTTCAACAGAATAACAATTTCAAACATATCTCAAATAATATCCAAAATAATCTTGAAACATGACTTTCAAGTTGTATTTTATCATGGCTATCCTATAGCCCAGATCTCAATTCTATAGAGAATATTTGGACAGTTCTTAAATGAAATGTGAAGAAAAAAGTTAAAGAAATGGTGGCACAAAAGCAGAGTGTATCACAAGAAATCTTCATTGCATTAGTGAAGAAGAAATGGAAGAAACTTCCAAACGTGGTGCTACTTAATAGTATTGTAGCATGCAAAATCACATTCAAGAATGCATTACTATGGAAGGAAATCATACAAAATATTAATATTTTGTGTATATCGATATAATGTTTTAATTATATTTATAATAAAAATATAATTTTTTTGTGTTGATTATTAATTTTCACATTATTTTCAATATAAATCAACTGTTTACTTTCTGCCAGAACTGTATATGTACTTTGAATCGGATAGATCTGTATACCGTGAGTGCCACCCAACATCCCAACACCCAACTTCCCGAAATTCTAACCTCCTGACAACCCAACTTCCCAACAAAGCCAACTTCCCGACAACCCAAACTTCTGACAACTCAACTTCCTGACCACCACACAACTTTTCGACAAACTAGTCCATTATAGGGATCGACTACTAGCATTTTATTAACATTTAACGTTAAACATCAACACGATAAGTAATTGCTTTTTAACTTGTCAATAACTAACTGATTTATCATAAAAGAGAATTGAACGTAAATTTTAATTAAATATAATAAAAAAATTAAGAAAATCATAAATCTTATATAAAAGAATAAAAGCAAAGATTGTGCACAATTCCACGAAGAAAATCTAACACAGAGTGATTTGCTCGATCATTAATAACATTTATAATTCTTCCCTCTTTATCAATTATTGGCTTTTGTCGGGAAGTTAGCTTTGTCGGGAAGTTTGGTTATTGGGATGCTGAATTGTCGGGAAGTTGGAATTTCGGGACGTTTGGTGTCGGGAAGTTGGGGTAGGCAGATCATATAATTTTTTAAGGGTAGCAAATCAACTCGCAAGATATGAAAAATAGCATTTCAAAATTATTATGAAGGTAAGGGTTAGGATCGGTGTTGAGGATATTTTCGCAAAGAACATTTTTTATTAGACAAAATTTCGAGATACAGAAAAATTAACAAAGAAGAAACAAAAATGATAGCCAAACCTATCTCAAAAACCTTTAAGTTTTAATTACATTTAAATTATAACATGATTTGATACGATTCCGGGTAACTCTGAGAGACCATTCATCATGCGAACGAGCTACTCATGAGTATTCAGTAGGACCAAATCAACATGAAATTCCCTTTTTACCGCTAATTCTGATACTTTTATTAACGATTTAAAGTTTTTAAATTAATTAATTTTATTTGTTATTATAATAACAGAGTAAAATTGAATCTTATCAAGAAGTGCAAAAATACATTGAAGAAATAAATGGTAATGTGAATTTTATGTTATTATAGATAAGTCGATGCAAAATATATATTAAATTCATAATATTTAAAAGGATGATAGGAGGTAAAGCTGATCAAAGAAAAATAATAACGATAATAATTTAAATATATCGATATAAACGAAAATCAAAAGTTCTAATACAAGTATTCGAATAATTTAGGTCGAAAAAGCGGCAGAAAGGCATTAAAATTGCAAGAAAAATTTATATCAAGAAATAGTGGAAAGGCTGAATGAAAACTAGTTCAGCTATGATGGTGGTGTTAAATAGCATGACTAGTATATTATGACTAAATATACTATATATATTTATTTGTTAATTTGTTAAACATCAAATAAATGAATAAATCAACTAAGCTATCATCGTTACTATAGTTTCTTCCAACTTCAGGTGAAAGAATTGTTCCTTAGAGACATGCCTCTCGGTAATATATAAATCATATAATCTCAATTTTGAAGTCATAGGCCAACAATACTCGATAGAATTCATGCTCCAAGTACGTTCCAACAAACCGCCATACTTAGTT